GCAATGGAAGACCGTATCAAAGTCTGACACTCAAGTTCACAAACTTGCCACCGTGTGCTTACGTGGGCAGCACTGTCCAAACAACTCGGTAGGTCTCATAACTTTGGTGTATCAGTGTCTCCCATCTGTGTCCACTTCAACGTGTGGTGGTGTCTTGCTGACTGGTGTTTATTACTGTTGCATGTTTTTTGTGTGCTGCTGTGAGAATGTCAGCGTTTGAATTAGAGCAACCAACAAACATTCATAAATTTCTTGTTAAACTTGGCAAGAGTAGAAGTGAAATCAGGGACATGTCAGTCCAAGTTGATGGGATAATGCCATGAAGAAAACGGTAGTGTACCCACAGATTAAACAGTTTTCTGAGAGGAGAGAAAATATAACTGATGAGAAGAGGTAAGGGAGGCCAGTAATGAGCAGAAATGACAAAAGCTTTGTAAAAGTTTGTTAAATTGTGGAGTCAAAATCAGAGGCTGACTGTGAGAAGCATGGCAGACCAAGTAAGCTTTAACAGAGAAACAGTTAAAAAATCTTTTTTTTTTTTTTTTTTGCAGTTTTAGGGCGGGGCAGGGCTTGAACCCGCCACCTCCAGCATATGGGGCCGGCGCCCTACTCCTTTGAGCCACAAGCGCCACCCCTGAGAAACAATTAAAAAATCTTAACTGAAAATCTCATTGTGAGGGAGTTTTTAGCCAGTAAACAAACAGCTGTGCTGGAACATCTCCCTACTACATCATCTGGGCCCTATGACCTCTCTTCACTGAGGACCCAGGAAATACTGAAAGGAAAACATTTTGATGACATTAAGAACATCAAGGGTAATACAATGATAGCTTTAGTAGCCATTCCAGAAAGAGAGCTCTGAAATGGCTTTCAAGGGTGGGTCAGGTGCTGGCATCAGTGCACAGCCCCCAGGGGAGCACTTCACAGGTGACTGGAGTGATATTCACCAATGAGGTACCAATCACCTTTTCTAGGATGAGACTAACGACTGAAAATCAAGTGATCTAATCACAAAATCACCAAAGCATAAGAATCATAGTATTTATTGAGCATTTGCCAGGTGTGACTGCTCTAAAAGCTTTCCATGTATCACCACTAATCCTCACAAAATCCCCCCAAAGGCAGGTAAGATGCAAATGAGGAACGTGAGCAGTGCCAGAATTTCTACAGACAAGGGTTTAAAGGCGGCAAAATGGAAGGAACTGGGCCATCAAGAGGGACTTGGTTCCAGGTCTTCTCACAGAGCAGCAGCTCACATTTCTTAGACAATAGGTGTATTTGCAATACCAGGTGAGAACCCTGATATGGGGGGGGGGGAGAGCACTTTAATACTTAGGTGAAATATTTATAGATGCAGATGGATGAAAGTGCGGCTGCCCTCCCCTGACCTCATGCACTTCGTACCACCACACAAAATCTGGGGACCCAAATACAAAATAACTTGCTCACCCTGATGGTACAAATGAGTATGGCAGAGCTGGCACGTGAACCCAGGTCTGTGAGTCCAAAGCCTTTTCTCCTACTACTCTATCACAACATTTCCTTCTCTGTAAATGCCCCAGGTTGTTTAAGCATCATACAAAATTAGTAGCTAACAATTTCACAAATTACCAGATATGAAAAAATAAATCACACTTCTAAGAACCCTGAACTATCATCTAGAAAGTAAATTTTCTAAATGCATGCTACTGATTCAGCACCTCCTAAAGTAAGGCTTAAGTATATTTTGAAACACATACAAATGATAGCAATCTTTTTGTTCTCCTTTTTTCTCCTGGGAATGAGGGAATAAAGCAGAAGACAAAGTGCTCTGCCTCAGGAGACCAAAGCTGGCTTAGGACCAAGCTGGATCTTAAGAATAAAAGAATTTCAGGATTATGCTAAATAGTAATTTTAAAATCCAAACAAAATCCAATGACATCCAATATCTTAATCCTAATTTGAGAGCCTGAAATGCCTACATTTTAGGAGGGAATTCATTTACTCATTCCACAAATTTCAAGTAAACCTGGCCAGACGGCACTGTGGAGCCTCGGCAGTGTGCAGAGTATGGTTTCTCCCTGCGAGCGCTCAGTCTAATTAGAAAAATCAAACAAATGTGAAATGTGTGAACGGATAAAGAGCAACAAATGAGCAAATTCCAAAGGCTGGGCTGTCAAGATGCAAAAGCAACTAAGGAAGGAGAAAGCACCGGGCATTTCAGGAAATAAGAGCAGCACTTTACGCTAGCCCTTGAAGGAAAATGAGAATTATAATCCTCGGTGGGAAGACAGGGAACAAATGAAGGTCTAAGTAATAGGGGAAAAAAATGTTTTCATTCATTGCTGGTAGGAATGCAAAACGGTACTGCCACTTTGGAGTACAGTTTGGCAGTTTCTTACAAAATTAAACATACGTCTCAAACTCTCACCAAGAAACAATGTACTCCTTGCTATTTACCAAAAAAAGTTGAAAACTTTTGCACACATGAAAATCTCCACATGCATGTTTATAGCAGCTTTACTCATAATCGCCAAACTTGGAAAAAACTCCAATGTCCTTCAGTTGGTGAATGGACAAACAGGGTACATCCATCCAACAAAATACCATTCAGAGCTAGAAAGAAATGAGCTATCAAACCGTGCAAAAACACGGGAGGAGCCTTGAGGGTTCCTCTTTCACTAAGTAAAGAAGCCAGTCTGAAAGGATGCATCCTGCATGATTCCAACAACATGACACTCAGAAAAAGGCAAAACTACAAATATAGTTATAAAAGGTCTGTGGTTGCCAGGAAGTTGGAAGAGGTGGGGCACCGAGGATTTTAGGGCCAGTGAAAATGCTCTGATACTATAATGATGGCTCTGTGTCATACACCATCCATTTGTCTAATCCCATAGAATATACAACACGAGGAGAGAACCCTAATGAAAACTATGAACTCTGGGCGATAACAACGTGTCAACGAAGATTCATCAACTGTCCCAATGTGTTGGGGAGGCCGGGGGGGGGGGGGGGGGGGGGGGCAGGCATGTGTGGGGACAGGTATGTAAGGGAAATCTGTACCATCCTCTCAATTTTGCTGTGAACCTAAAACTAAAATAAAATCTTCAAAAATAAACAAATACACCAATGTTATTACACAGGGCAATATATATAAGTCTATATATATATATATATGTCTATATAAGGACGTGCATAGGATACTGCTTAAATATGGTACATGTGTACAGTAAATACTATGCAGCTATAAAAACAATATGCTGATATATATTCTATAATGCTAAGTGAAAAAAAGCAAGGTACAAAATGTGTGTCTAGTGTACCACCATTTGTGTACTTACAAAATCAGTATTTATACATATACGTTTGTAAATGCTTATATACTCATAAACTACCCATGGAAAGATACAGAAAAGGTTATAAACAGTGTAGCTCGGCACCTGTAGGTCAGCAGCTAGGGTGCCAGTCACATATACCAGAGGTTCAAATCCAACCTGGGCCTGCCAAAAGTTATAAACAATGGGTAACTGCTATTGGCTGAGGACACAGGCAGGCTAACACCAGGGACTGTGCTCTGCAGAGCAGGTAAGCTGGAGAAGACCCTAAGTATTGGGTTAAAAGGTTTAGACAGTATGAACTCAAGAGCACAGCGTCTCAACACTAGCATGGCTGACATTTGGGAGCACTACATTCCTGTAAATCAACAACAAATCCAACAGAGATTCAGATTTGGATCTGAAGAATATATTGGGCACTGTTTTCAAGTGTCCGTCCAATATCAGTCATAGTTTTTCTTTTTTCTTTGAGACAGAGTCTCACTCTGTGGCTCTCAGGAGAGTGCCATGGCGTCACAGCTCACAGCAACCTCCAACTCTTGGGTGTAAGCAATTCTCTTGCCTCAGCCTCCTGAGTAGCTGGGACTATAGGCATCCACAACAATGCCCAGCTATTTTTTGTTGCAGTTGCCACTGCTATTTTAGCTGGCCATGGCAGGGTTCGAAACCACCACCCTCGGTATATGGGGCTGGTGCCCTATCCACTGAGCCACAGGAGCCACCCTCGGTCATAGTTTTTCAAACTGAGAGCATTCAAGCCCTTTCCCAAAGCTGAACCATAATTTTTAACCATATCTACACCATCACTAGTGTCTCTTTTCTACATTGTTTGAATACAAATGGTCAGAGCTAAACAGGTTCAGCAATACAAAGAGCATGTACCAGATCCCCCAACGGGCTGCCCAGTGGCGATGCACTGACCCTTTTGGATCTCTTTGGCTTAATTTCATGAGTTACCTCCCCTAGTCCAGCCCAAACCGCATGCGTTCTCTAAATCCAAGATCTTCTAGGATGCCAAGGAAGGCAATCTTCCCACAGAAATCTAACAAGATATCATATTTTGGCTCAGCTTTTGAAAAACTAATATAATATTGACACAGTTAAGAACATAATTACTCATTAGGCTAATAATGTTTCCTCTCGTAACTCCTAATGACCACACAAAGTGTGAGACACTGTTCAAAAATCACAAAAGGCATCATCCCTGATTTCAAGGAGATTATAAAGAGAAGGATTACGTATAAAGCCAAGAGAGGCCTTAACTAGATTCTTCAAATCACAATTTTATTAAGCATAATTCCATTTCTAATATACCACAACGAATAAGATATACCAAGATATCCAACAGGTTTGAATATGTTTTAAACACAGATCTAAAACTTTTACTTGCCTATATCTTTTATTTTTCCAAAGCTAGAAATCCAATAATAAACCAGCAATCTTGGCTTCATATTTTAAAGTCACCGATTGCTTCAATTCCGTTGTAGTTGAATGTTCTGGATTTCATTTGCATGAAATCATGCTCTTCAAACTCTATTATTATGTCGACTACTTTTGCTTAGCCCTTAGAAAGTTGGCTCTCATTTCTGGAGGTGACCCCCAGTGACCTCACTCAGCAATACATACACCTGTGAGTTGCTATGGAAGATGCTTAAAAGTGTCCGCGGCGGAAAAAAAGAAACTCACCATTCTAACTACTTCAGGGTAAGTCTGCTCTGTCAAACAGCCTCTGCTTATTGTAATGTAGTCCACCAGTTCATTAAGAGTGGAGCGCTTGTATTCTTTCATTTTAAGATCAGATAGCGTGTCCATGAAGTCAAAAATGACACAGCACTGCTGAAGTTTCTTTAGGAACAGTTCAGGCTGCTCTGAGGATGGAACGTCTAAGAAAAAAAAAGGAAATGGTGTAAGTCTGTCATCAATTTCCAGGTAACAGGAATTCTCTGTGAAAGTTACTTCAAAAGTAAGCTCAAAAAAATAAGAATTCACATGACAACAGTGTTGTTTTTAACAGTTACACATGGGTGGGAGGGGACACCATATCCACGACTTCAGAGACTTCGCTTTGAGAACTACATTGTATAACCACAAAATTGACTGCATTTGCTACCCCACAACCAAGGGTTGACCAAAACCCCTCAAGCAAATTTTAACCAAAAACACCTCAATGTCAATACCCTTAAATCCAAAATCACTGAGAAAGGTCAAACTTTCCCTTATAAGGTGAAGCTAGAAGCTTTCATTGTTGGTTTAAATTAGTTTTACTAAAAAATCTCAAAGCAGAAATGTCAGTCGATTCATTTTAATTTCATGCTGACATTTTTGGTATTTAAGGCAATTGTATGTGTTTGTACTTTTTGTTTTGTTTTGGCTTCATCTCTGTGAAGTTTCTCAAAAATCTACAAAATGAAACAACAGCAACTGTTTCAAAAATGGAACATCAGTAAAAGGAAAATAACAGCAAATACTTCTTAAACCTGTGAACTTCTCTTTGACCCATCTTCTTCCCTTACAGTGGGAGAAAAACACTAATATCATCCTTAATGCGTTCTCAGAATAGACATCTGTTCTTTTCCCACAAACAGCAAGTCAGACATTTGGTTTGGTGCTACTTCTAAAAAATATGTAGAAGTTTTAGGTTAGTTAAAATTCCTCCACTAGAAAGAAACCTGATCTACAGTTGGACTTGAACTACACCAACTGAGTTGTCGGTAGCCCACTCCTGTCTTCGTTCCAATATTTCACTACCCAAACTGGAGCTTCCCTCCCTGAAGAAGGGATGAAAATTATGACCAGGGCAGGCTCTGCTGCCTTCATCCAGGGCGATTAATTCATAATCCTCAGAACCCTTAGAAGTAAGCAGGTGGCTTTATTCTTCTCTGTTTTTCACACAGAAAATTAGAGACAATCACTGAGATCACATAATGCATGAGTTTTGGAGCTAGGCGCAGTGCCTGGGTCTCTAACCACACTCCCACGTTCCCTTTGTACTAATCAAGAAGGACTTTAACAGTGTTTGGCCAAGTCACTTGCAACCATCCTCAGCTGGCAGCCTTCTGGTAAATGTTTTACTACCACAGCCTCATGGATAGGGCCCCCTGCACTCTGGAGGGGAGGGCATCGGCACACGGTGCCCACCTGACAGGCCCAGCAGAGCAGGGTGAGGGCCGGCCTCATGGTCACAGAATCCAATCCACGTGACTCCTGCCCACAGCCCCCTCACCTCTTTATATCCCACAACCCAAGTGCAACTACCTGGGGACCCCATGGGAAATTCCCCCAAAGCACTGTCAGAGTAAGGATGAGAGTGGATACAACACCTGAAACACAAGATTTCTCTCCCAGATGTTAGAGAACAAGAAGTAGTCCGTATCTGAAGATTTATGCATATAAAATTTATAGCATAACTGCTACTCTGAACAAAAACAAGTTGTGAATTTAGAAATTGTTAACTAGTCAGTTTCTCCTCTCCTGTCACTCCAACAGGTCCCTAAAGGTATAACACGCAGCATATACTACGTTGCATATTCTATGTCTATGGTCAGATGTTAGGATTTAAGTCAAGTCACGATGTTTGTTTCATTCTATGCTCCTAGATTTAATCAGTTTTAAAATGTTTAGCCTTAGACTGTAAGAATTAAATTCAGTGGGACCAAGTCTTTCTCTTTAAGTGCTACCTACTTCAGGTGTTTAACATAAACAAACAAAAATCAAACACGGCTGCTTATGAATATGACTGTAAATCCTTAACCAACAGCTAATTATAGGCACAGAACCATCCTAGGTAATTACTAAGATCTTCTGAATTCTAAACCAGACCCCATACCTGGAAGCTGAATGGGAGCGCCCGGGAAGAAAAAGCTTATTAATGTAACATTGTCACAGGTTAACATCTTTAGAGGAAATTTTAATTAATTCCATTTTTGGTAAGTGCCTTTAATAAAGCCTAAAAAATACACCATCTACATGGAAAACTCAACTCAGCACATATGAATTATGAAAGTATTTATGAATTATAGCCCTTCCTCCATAGACAAACCATCATTTCAGCCACGACAACAATTAATGTTTGCAGTCACTGCAATAACACTCAAAAGATTCATGTCTTTAGCAATTCAAAGAATTCAGACAGTTAATACCCAGTCCTGTTTTTTAATATTACGCAGTTTAAATTTACCCTTTATTTATGCAAATTGACATAATGTTATAGACAAACATGACACAGGTTATCCACTGGCGCCTTAGGATGTAATAATAGTGTACATTTATTGAACACACTGGGTACATTTACTGGGCACTATTCTGGGCACTGACAAACATGATACCTCCATTTAATCTCTAAGACAATCTGACATAGTAGGTGCTAATTCCAGTTTAACAGATGAGTAAACCAAAATGCAAAAGATTCAGTGACTGGCCCAGAGTCACAACTAATAAGCAATGGAGAAAAGGTTCAAAACCAGGCAAATTTGAGTCAGAGCCTGGACTCTTCACCACTGTCCAATATTCAAATATAGTGAAAGGTCAGAATAATACCATACTGCAGAAACAGAGTGTGTGCAAAGACAGAAGAGCAGGAAGAAGGCAGAAAGAAGTCAACGAATTAATCTCCAGCATGTTCCTACTCACCGAGTGTCATGCTGAACCCTGCTCTATCTCCATGCAGCCCACACCCCAGAGACAAACACACAGAAGAAAAGCTGTGATTTAACCCTTTATTAAGACTAAGTTCTTGGCTCAGCGCCCATAGCACAATGGTTAATGGCGCCAGCCACATACACCGAAGGTAGAGGGTTCAAAGCTGGCCCAGGCCAGCTAACCAAAAATGACACTGCAACAAAAAATAGCCGGGCAGTGTAGCAGGCACCTATAGTCTCAGATACTTGGGAGGCTGAGGCAAGAGAACCAATTACCTGAGCCCAAGAGTTTGAGCTTGCTGTGAGCTGTGATGCCACTGCACTCTACCGACGACATAGTGACACTCTGTCTCAAAAAAAAAAAAAAAAAAGACTGAGTTCTTCTAAAATAACTTCACTTTGTTAAATTAAAGAACTTAAACAGTCAAGACTAACCAAAGAAGAGGAAGATAATTTCCTTCAAGAGGCCATTCCTAGCCAGGCATTGTGGCTCACACCTGTAATTCTAGCACTTTATGAGGTTGAGGTAGAAAGATTGCTTAAGCTAGGAGTTCAAGACCAGCCTGAGCAAGAGCAAGACCCCTATTTACTAAAAATAGAAAAATTAGTTAGGCATCACAGTGGGTGCCTGTAGTCCCAGTTACTCCAGAAACTAAGGCAAGAAGACTGCCTGAGCCCAGGAGTTTGAGGTTGCTGTGAGCTAGACAGATGCCACAGCACTCTAGGGTAGGCAACAGAGTACGACTGTGTCTCCAAAAGAAAGAAAGAAAGAAAGAAAGAAAAGCGGCCATTCCTTTATAGTAACAATTTTTTAAAAATTCTTTCTGCTGAAGAATAACCTAACTAGCAACAGTCCAAGCAAAGGGCTCTTTCTGTACCATTCGGCCCTCAGATTGCCCCACACAGCTAATGCTGCTCCCAACCACCTCGCACAGCCCCCAGGTCCTGGGAGGCTAAGAACAGCAGAATGTGAAAAGCACTACGTGCCAGAGGGCAGAGAAGGAGCAATGTCTGAGCACAGTCCAGAAGGTTTCCAGGACATAAGAAAAGTTCACTGTCTACAGAGCCAGACCCTGAGACAGATACAAATATTCTTTTTAAAGAAACATTTATAGCCCTGTGATTGCATTAACGTACACAGCTATGATTTAATAAAAAAAAGAAACATTTATAAAAAAGATCATGTACTTGGCCATAAAAAAAATCTCATAAATGACAAAAAGACACCATACAGTCAGTGAATTCTGACCACAATATAATAACACTAGATTTTAACAGCTCGAAGCTACCCACATCCCAAATCCAAGTCATCTGGAAATCTAAACACTTCTAAAATAAGTTATGATTAAAGAAAAAGCTTTATAGACACTTGGAAATAAATTTTAATTAGGATAATTAAGTGTCATCTTAAAATCCCAAAGCAGACCAGGCAGAGGAGGCGTCTGTCATCTACCTTCCAAGGGAAACCTCTGGCCAGCAGAGACTATCCCTGCCCTGGAGAGAGAATCCCACAGAATCAGCCTCTGTAAATCAGTAAGTGGTTATGTAATACCATGAAGGTCATCAGCACAGTGACTCACCCATCCAGCGTTAGCATGTGTTTAAAGGGGAAAATAATTGATCCAATTATCACAACTGGACTCCATGGTTCTGGAAGAATTCCCAAAATTAAGTTGATTTCCAGAATGTTTTTCACCCAAGCAAAGAATCCCAGGGCCAGCAGCTAAGTTATACTTCTCACTAGGTCATCTCTCTCTTTCCTTTTGACCATCAGTCACTTTCTCCCACATGCCTTTCGTATCACCATCTCCCAGGATCCTCCACTGGGGAGAAAGACTACTCCTACCTCCAGGATGTTCACACCCAAATAATTCTAAAATTTACAAGTGTTAGCATGTCATGTGTAAATGGACATGTAACTCAACACAGAGGGAAGATCAAGATTAAGAGACAAATATTTAAGGAACAGTCAACAGGCTCTGTAAACACTTCAGCTATAAGCCACCCACCCTATATAAATTAATAGCCCCCCATCTCTATCAAAACACACACACACACATACAAGGAACCCCACTTAGCTGCCTATGATTCCAAATGCCAGTTATTTGTTTACAATTTGCAGAAGCAGGTCAGTAGTCATTACTCCATTGTGCCATTCTACCTCATGTTGGGCACATCATCGTGGGCCCAGTATCAGCCCGTCTCTCCTTTTTTTTTTTTTTTTTTGCAGTGGCCAGGTTTGAACC